GTTACACCGTAATTTTTGTTGAGTTCAAATTTTGTGAAAATCGGGCCAAAACTGTCTGACAAAATGGCTGCCCCTCGTATGCAAATAGTGTAGAGCATCTGGTATATCAAGCTTGTGGGCCCTCTGGAGGTCACAATTTTGATCCGATTTTGATGAGAGTTGAAATACATGTTTATAACCCAAAGATCTTGGTTCGCGCATATCGGATCGTAACTTCCTGAATTATGGCCCTTGAAAGTACAAAAAATCACATTTTTACTCTTAGCTTGCCGTCCATGTAGAGGTCACAATTTTTATCCGATTTAAAAAAACATGTGAATATATCACCATTACACACTAAGATCTTGGTTCCTTTTGATAATCGTGTATATACGAACGTAACTTCCTGGATTATGGCTCCTGACTGTTCGAAAAATCACATTTTTAGCTTGCAGATTCTCTATGTCACAATTTTTTTTTCGATTTTAAAAAACGTTTAAATATTTCACCATCCCACCATAATGAAGGTTGAATTCGAATTTCGAGAAAATCGAAATGAAACTGCCCGACAAAATGGCCGCTCTTTGTACCCAAATTGTGCAAAAGTATGCAATACGAAGGTTCTGGTCCCTCTAGAGGTCATAATTTTTATCTGATTCTGATGAAAATTAAAACATATCTTTATATCCCAAAGATCTAAGTCCCTTTTGATATTTGTGCATTTCAGACCATAACTTTTGGATTATTGCCCCTGATTGTACAAAAAATCCTGTTTGTTTTTAGCTTGTTCTCTATCCATCTCTTGCAAAATGTGGGCATATCCTGTCTGGCAGCCGCTTGTTTTCTCTACAGATTATCACCTTATAAATGAAAAATTCATGTAGATGCTTAATATCTGTAACACAATGTCTTGTTGCGCTATCCTGAAATAAACATTGAACTATTTGGTGTATTCTAACGGTCTCAGACACCATATTGTGTCTTGGAACCAAATCTTAAATGTAACACTATCTTGTGTCACGCTATCCTGTGATACAGCTGAGCACTAAATCAGATTTGTAACTAACTTAATTAGCAAAACAAGATGACTTATCATCACTATCCCACACCCTTGCACTTGTCTGGAAGGCACAAGGCAAAACAACTTCTTGGAATATCAATGGGACTAGTCAGTAGATTCATACTCTGATCACTGTAGCTCAGCAATGCAGGGTAGCTACTCCATGTAAGGTTTGCACAACAACCTTTGCCTACCTCAGCCAGCTAATCAGCCAATACATCAGAAAATAAAATACTATAAGTTGATGTTTGTTCAAAGTTTCAGAAATATTTCTTGAACGGATAATGAAATATGTTGCAGAAACAAAATCGGGACAGGAGGACAGTCATCAGAAAATAAAACAAGATGTCTAGTCATCAACATCCCGCGCCCTTGCACTTGTTTGGAAGAAATAAGGAAAAATAACTTCTTTATGCTATTGGTAATGTATACATGTAGCTGTTTGTATTGTTACAAAGTTTTGAGCAAATCAATGAAAGAATAGTACATTTGCAAATACCCAAATAACCTAGAACAGGAATCATATATCCTATAATTTATGCAATGTATCATTACGATTGTACTGCAGACATTTACGCTGGCATGTAAATGATTTAGTACAATCCTCACATTTATTCATGTTTCTTCCTCTCTGTAACAGTAATAAATGTACATGTATACAAGCAAGGTTTTTAAAATTAATGATGAATAGTTGAATGTGTATTTAAATGAGTTTTATGAGTAAATGATTTACTACAAAAATCTCTTCTCCTTTAGGAATGTCCAGAAACTGATGAGAAAATGGTTTATGAAAGCATAACATTGAAGCGGCAAAATATAGATATTCAAGTAACAATTATACAAAAAATTGAACTTAACAAAATACAATATGTTGATCATGTTAGACTTTCGTAAAGTAAATAATGAGTGAATCATATACTATAACTGAAAAAAAATTGGTATTACAGGTGCACATAATGTAAGTTCTACATCCTCTTATTTTGAATTTCTCAGATTTGATAATTTTATGTGTTTCTAGAAATTCCTAAATAGCAAAAGGCTCAACTAATGTAATAGGTTGATGTGTGTACAAAGTTTCAAAAAGATATCTTGAACGGTTTATGAGATATGCTCTGGAAACAAAATTGTACACCAAAAACTAAGTCAAATTTGTTTCTATGGAATTACACAAAATATCAATCCCATAAATTCCTAAATAGCAAAAGGCACAACTACTATAATGGTTAGATGTCTATACAAAATTTCAAAAAGATATCTTGAATGGTTTATGAGATATGATCCGGAAACAAAATTATACACCAAAAACTAAGTCAAATTTGTTTCCATGGAAACACACAAAATGTCAATCCCATAAATTCCTAAATAGCAAAAGGCACAACTACTGTAATGGGTAGATGTCTATACAAAGTTTCAAAAAGATATCTTGAATGGTTTATGAGATATGCTCCGGAAACAAAATTATACACCAAAAACTAAGTCAAATTTGTTTCCATGGAAACACAAAAAATATAAATCCCAAAAATTCCTAAATAGCAAAAGGCACAACTACTGTAATAGGTTGATGTGTGTGCAAAGTTTCAGAAAGATATCTTGAACAGTTTATAAGATGCTCCGGAAACAAAATTGTACACCAAAATATAAATCCCAAAAATTCCTAAATAGCAAAAGGCACAACTACTGTAATAGGTTGATGTGTGTGCAAAGTTTCAGAAAGATATCTTGAACAGTTTATAAGATGCTCCGGAAACAAAATTGTACACCAAAAACTAAGTCATTTTTGTTTCCATGGAAACACAAAAAATATAAATCTCAGAAATTCCTAAATAGCAAAAGGCACAACTACTGTAATGGGTAGATGTCTGTACAAAGTTTCAAAAAGATATCTTGAACGGTTTATGAGATATGCTCCGGAAACAAAATTATACACCAAAAACTAAGTCAAATTTGTTTCCATGGAAACACACAAAATGTCAATCCCATAAATTCCTAAATAGCAAAAGGCACAACTACTGTAATGGGTAGATGTCTATACAAAGTTTCAAAAAGATATCTTGAATGGTTTATGAGATATGCTCCGGAAACAAAATTATACACCAAAAACTAAGTCAAATTTGTTTCCATGGAAACACAAAAAATATAAATCCCAAAAATTCCTAAATAGCAAAAGGCACAACTACTGTAATAGGTTGATGTGTGTGCAAAGTTTCAGAAAGATATCTTGAACAGTTTATAAGATGCTCCGGAAACAAAATTGTACACCAAAATATAAATCCCAAAAATTCCTAAATAGCAAAAGGCACAACTACTGTAATAGGTTGATGTGTGTGCAAAGTTTCAGAAAGATATCTTGAACAGTTTATAAGATGCTCCGGAAACAAAATTGTACACCAAAAACTAAGTCATTTTTGTTTCCATGGAAACACAAAAAATATAAATCTCAGAAATCACTAAATAGCAAAAGGCACAACTACTGTAATGGGTAGATGTCTGTACAAAGTTTCAAAAAGATATCTTGAACGGTTTATGAGATATGCTCCGGAAACAAAATTATACACCAAAAACTAAGTCAAATTTGTTTCCATGGAAACACAAAAAAATATAAATCCCAGAAATTCCTAAATAGCAAAAGGCACAACTACTGTAATAGGTTGATATGTGTGCAAAGTTTCAGAAAGATATCTTGAACGGTTTATGAGATATGCTCCGGAAACGAAATCAGACCGGACGAACGGACAGACGGGCGGACAGACGGACGAACCCCGTTTCAATATCCCTCCCTAACTTCGTTCGGCGCGGGATAATAATAGGTTGCAATGAATGAAAAGTGTTATAAAGGTAACTTGGCCAGTTTCTGAGATATGCTCTAGACAGTCTAGGATAATAATTATTATATACCAAAAACTAAGTCATTGTCAAATGTGTAGTAAAAATTCAAAATTTATTCAACAGAGGAAGTTGTTTAAATTTAAACACAAAAATTATTTTAAAATCTAAGAAATTCTAAATTAGCAAAAGGCACAACTACTATAATAGGTTGCTGTTTATACTAAGTTTCAAAAAGATATCTTGAATGGTTTATGAGACAAATTCCTAAACAAAATTTTACACCAAAAACTAAGTCAATTTTGTGTTCCTGAAAACACAATAAATATAAATCCCAGAAATTCCTAAATAGCAAAAGACACAACTGCTGTAATAGGTTGATGTGTGTACAGAGTTTCAAAAAGATATCTTGAACTGTTTATGAGATACGCTCCGGAAAAGAAAACGGGACGGATGGACCGACACATTTTAATAGTCCCCTGCTTTCTTCGAAAGGCGGGGGAAATCAAATAAAATGAAATGGGGTTTAACGTCCTACTGTTCTGCTCCTAAACTGGACTAATGGAGACGGGAATATGCCATACAGTGTCCTATGAGGGAAATTTTGCCCAGGCAGCGGCGCTACGGCCTACTCTTATATCGAATCCCAACAGCCAAGGGATCTTTTACATGCACGCCAATATGTACACGGGACCTCGGTTTTTTCGTCCCATCCGAACGAGACAGCTGTCCTTGTCAGGCCCTCCGTCCTGCATCACTGACAAGGGGAAACCACGCCGGAAAATCTGGATGAACTTTCTCGGCCAAGGGAGGGATCGAACACCCAACCTTCAGGCTAGCGAGCCAGCGTCTTACCCACTTAGCCATGTGATCCCCGAAAGGCGGGGGACAATAATCTATCAATACATCATGAAAGTGACGAGTACAAACCTTGGTTTGACCAAGGTATATCAAACGTAATAAAAGTTGTTTACAAACAAGATGCCATATGTTAAGCAATTGTTTTAATTACAAAATGCAGCATGTCAAGACCAATTCAATATGAATTATCTATCAGAAAGCACTGTGTGGTCACTATAACAATATTAACTTGGTAACACACTGTTAATAATGCTACATATTTACATTCCTAGGAAACATGATGTGTAAATCCAGACTATGGGAATTACCAAACCTAACCAATAATTGGTATTTCCCTCTACGGACATAAACCAGCGGCTGCCAGGCAGGATACGACCACATTTTCGAGAGATGGATAGAGAGCAAGCTAAAAAGAAAGTGATTTTTCCTACAATCAAGGGCCATAATTCAAGAAATTACAATTCGATATGCGCAACTATCAAAAGGAACCGAGATCTTTGGGTTATAAACTTACATTTCAAGTTTCAACAAAATCAGATATACCATATTTTTACGCTATTTGAGATTGAGAACGAGGGGTGGCAATTTTGTCTGTCAGTTTTAGGCCGATTTTCACGAAATTCGAACTCAGCCGTCCTTAGGGTGTAACGGTGATATAATAATACGTTTTTTTAAATCGGATAAAAATTATGACCTCTATAGTATAGGGTCCACGAGCCAAAAACGCGATTTTTCGTACAATCAGGGGCCATAATTCAGGAAGTTACGGTCCAATATGCGCGGATATCGAAAGGAACCAAGATCTTTGGGTTATAAACTTACATTTCAAGTTTCAACAATATCGGATAAAAATTGTGACCTCTATAGGGTCCACAAGCTAAAAACATGATTTTTCGTACAAACAGGGGCCATAATCCATGAAGTTTCGATCCGATACATGCCAATATCTAAAGCAACCAAGATCTTTTGGAGATAAACCTATACTTCAAGTTTCGTCAAAATCGGATAAGAATTGTGACCTGTAGAGTGTCCATAAACAAATTGTGGACGGACGGACAGGGCCGACGACAATATACATCCACATGAAAAGTAAAGTATGGTTCTGGTTAGAACTGAGTAGAAGAATGCCTAATTCTGAAATGTCGTTAATGTTTTTTTTATATTAACAACTTACATTCTATAGCTAGATCAACTGATTTTAACCAGGCAGAATGATACAACATCTCATATTCCACAAGTATCCTAGCTATTCGATTATAATTACGAATAATCTTCTTAGCTTCTTCACTACTCAGGCATTTTGGATGCAACTAAAAATAGAGAACATAAAATATAATACATTTTTAATATTACACATCACTGATGAGCCTGTTCTTACTTTTAGGGCTTAATGAATTCCATTCGAGAAATTAATGTTTAATTAGCTGAACAAATCTCCAAAACCTTAGCCCATGTATCGTAATCAAGGGGAAGCAATTCGGCAAAATGTTTGTTCGACTAATGTCCTCCACCTCAATATCAATTTCATATTTATATCTTGCGATAACACAATAGTAAAGTAAAAAGTTACCCTAAATATATCCATGGGTTCTATGATACGCTCAGATAGTTGACGAGCCCAAGATATTTTACCAGATACTGGAGGCATGTTTCGAGGTAAGGGTGGATGTTCTCTAAATCGATGATACATCTACAATAGAATAATAAATTTTGATTTTTAAACCCACAGCATAGGAGACACGCCTTACAGATACTGTAGATGCTTTTGAAAACAAGCCAACGATGAGACTGATGTCGCCTCACTTAACTCTAAAATAAATAGATAACATTTGTTAATTACTTGCTCAAATTGCTTACCAGTCTGCTTAATAGACAAGAAAATACTCATTATCGAGCTTAGTCAAGGTATTAATGTAATGAAACTATACACCACGTTTCATCACACTCACTCAATTAGAATCAGTTCCAAGCACACTAATCAAATTGCTTATCGCTGTTTTGCCTAAGCAGTACAAATGGATATGCAATTGTCACTTGTTTTATCTTTCGTTAAAACAAATCTATATAAAGTTTAAACTATTCATAGAGAACACTGAAGGTTTCCTTAAAAAAATAAAATTGTCCTCCTTCAAAGACTCCAAGGCCCTTGTAAAAACAGCACTGTGATTGTTGGGAAGACTTTCAGTATTTGGTAATATTTTATTTCACTGAAATTTGTTGTAATATATTGTACTCTTAGTCCGTATATGATCAAACATTTTCCAATTGAATTTATTTTGTGTTTCAATAAAACAACAGCTCTTATTTCATGACACACAAAATGACAATGTTCTGGTTATATGTGATCCCTATAATTTCTTTCCAATATTTCAACACAGTGGTAGGAAAATTAGGCAAGGTACAAGCTTTCAATCAATAATTTATTTAAAAGCCGTTGATTTTATGATTGCAAATTGTTAATCTGATAAAACCATCAGAATTTTGAGAACAGAATAAATATTGCCTATTATAAAGTAAATGGTCATTAATAAAATACATTATAAGGTTACGTGCAATTAATAGTGTCCACGTGTACAATCAGATAAAATTAATCGGTTATTTCTTCTGATCATTTAGTAAACATTTTGATAGCTCTGTTTAAACATGACCCCTTTTAGATGTAATTAGTGTCACACAATCTTGTTACTAACAATGCAAAGTAAAAAAATCTATGAAATTGTATGGCATTATTTTTATTCATTTTAACTTGATTTTTGAATTAAATCTGATTTTCGTAAACACCATGATGTCATGTCAAGTATTATTTTACTCTTCAGCTATAAATGAGATTGCAGTATTTGTTACACCCCCACCCCACCCTTTCTTCAGTTCATAGCTGTAGTACTAGTAGACTGGCATGGAGTCTAAGGAGATACTAGTTATGTCATTATTCAGTACTAATTTCACCAGTGTATACCTGGCTTGTATGCCTAAGCATATGACATGCTAGAAAAACAAGGGTGACAGCAATATACAACCCCATTTCAATTTATTAATAGGTAATTTTTTCTATGAATGTACATTATATTTAATATTAGCGGTATATATGCTTATTGGAATTTCGAAATTACTCTCTGTATAATGGCTTGGATTCTTTACAATTATTTTCTATTAACAACAAATACATGGATAATGATTAAAGGCTCAATACCACTCTTGTTGTAACTGAATAATATGTCCCAATCTTTATTCTGGTCAACAAATTGTACTATTTTACAATATTCCAATTAATTGGCTATACAAATTTCATCTTAACACACCTAATTTAAAAAATTGGAAAAATTCAACTAAATGATTTGAAAAGCCTGACGTAAAGCTTTTCAAATGTGACTTGGATTTAAAAATATTTTTGAACCCTCTGGACAAGTAAAATAGGATTTAATGGATAATTTACACAACAGGTAGGACACTAACACATCTAGTACTTAGAATAAGGCTATTTTTTATTTTTTGGAGCTGTCAAGCAAGCAAGAGTGTTATTGTCCCTTTAAGGCAGATAACACATATGAATGTAGCAGACTCTAATCAATATGTAACCATGATATAGTAGAGATGGACAGTTCTAGCTGACAGAGACCAAGGTACACTCAGTCTGCTCATCACTCTTCCAGCCTGAATTAAATAGAAGGGAAAGTTTTACATTCAAATTTTCATGTTATATAGGAAATAAAAACTGCATACAACATGACTTGTGTAGCTCAAGTTTTTGGATTTACAATTCTTTATGTATTGTTCATAACTTATGATGTTACAGCACAATCAATAGACGATTTATTAAGGCTTGGCGATTACTTAGAAACAAGAAATCCTAAGAAACTCCGACCCTTAAAAAATCAAAGTGAGCCGCTTAATGTCTACATAGATTTCTATTTATTAAATATCATTGGATTAGACGATATTCAACAGAACTTAGATATTAGTGTTGTGTTTAATATGTCTTGGAAAGATGATCTGTTGTCGTGGAATGAGAGTGAATTTGGAGGAATCAAATCATATGTGCCATCAAGTGATATCGTTTGGCTGCCAACCCTAACCTGCTTTAAATATGTTGGAAAAATGAATATATTTGAGGATAGTTGGCAAAGAGTTCGAGTTCATTCAGATGGAATAGTTGTGTGGCAAGTCCAAAAATCATTAAATCTTATTTGTTCACTAAACATGCAATACTTCCCAAATGACAATCAAACCTGCGAATTGTTCTTTTACACACTTCAATATACATCAGATGAAGTAGTCTTACTTTCAAATTCGCACGAGGGTAGAAACAGCCTCTATGACAATAGTAACGGTGAATGGGAATTAAATGCTGTTTTAACTCGCACAGAATTATATCAAATCGATTATTCATCATGGGTTGTCCTGTTCATAGTTACTATCAAAATTGATCGTTTGTATTATTTCTTTCTTCAAAATGTGATTATACCCATCTTTATGCTGTCATTCTTAAATTTGTTTACTTTTTGCCTGCCGGATGACTCTGGGGAAAAGATTTCCTTCTCGTTGACAGTGCTTCTTTCGCAGACAGTTTTCCTGAGTACAATAAGTGAATCTCTGCCAACCACTTCATTACATCTTGTTTACATTACTATGTACATGAACTGTCTGTTAATAATCAGCTGTTCAATATCAATAGCATCCATCGTTCTACTTTATTTTCACCATCACCGAAAAAAATTAGAGAAACTATCCAGAAATGAATCATTAAAGGAGCCACGAGTTCAAGACACATTCAAAAGTGCAAAGATTCATCCCATGCCATCAGCACAGAATCAAAGTTTCAAGAAACGCTTGCATTTTAGGTGTTTTTTCTGCACTCTTGATACGATGCTGTTTATAATTTTCTTTAGCGTATGGTTGCTAATCACTGTTGTGTTTATTATAACAATAATATTCAAAAATAGCATAACAGGGTTTCCAGAATTGGACAATTCCAGTGGTAACAGAAAGATATTCTAGCCGTTACTTGTATGTACACATTCATTTGGTTTACAAAAAAATGAATTTACTATTACCAATAACTGTTTGACTAACATAAATAAATTTTTGATATAACAAATCAAATTAATTTTTTAAAATTTATCTTTGAAGTTACAGTCACACCTATTCAAGGTGATGGACACCACGCGTTAGCAGCACAAACTTTATTAAAATTGAAAATTACTGGCCACATTATAAATATATACTAAATATGCTTGGTAACAGATGAGCATCTTGAAGTTCGGGTTTTTAGTACAAGACTATACAATACAAAGGTAATTCACAATATTTAAACATTATGTAAGATTTTAATAAAAAGCTGGATGTTCTTGCTATAATAATTCCAAAAAAGATAATTTGAAATGAATATATTGAAAATTTCAGTCAAATTACTTTATTCTAAGGGAAGTTATGAGTGTTTAAAATTTTTACAAGACAGTCTTAATTGTGAAGTACCACTGCTACGATAATAAACAAAATCTTGATCATCTATTTTATTGTTAATTATTAAATGGTGTGAGTGTTTTCATCCATTAAATATCTAGGGAGTTGATTATGGGCTTGTCAAGTAAATAAATGCTTAATTAATAATTTATAAAACATTTGAAGCGAAAACAAAGACCTGCATTAGGCAGATTTAGCTTTTAGTTTTACATCTTTGTACATCCATTATTATTGTTGTTGTGGTCAAAACTTTGGTTTGGTGAGCTTTATAAACCTGCTATTTTTGCACATTTCAATTTTTCCTGCACCAAGCACGGTGTAATTATTTCATATTAATTAGTATTCATAAAATTATGTCTGGACACTGATCATGTTAAGAATGAAATTGTTTTCAAGGATTTTATCAGGAAGTTTGACTAGTTGTATCTCTAAAAGTTCAATTGATTTAATAAAAAAATTTTTTTTTAAGACATTGTGTTTATACTTAATATATTAGGTCTCTAGTATATTCATATATGTCATTTTTGAAAGGCATTTAAGATGATTTATCAAACTTTATAATCCACCCCTAGACCTACAATACAGTCAATTTCTATGTCATTCTGTTAGGATGGGTATCTTTAGGTAGTACATGTATTTTTAAATATCCTGTACACAAAAAGTATGGCGTGCCATTTAGCTTTACTTTAGCATAGTTGTGCCATGTTGATAAACTTTGTTAACATGTATGAAGTAATATAGTTGTCTAATATAGCTGTCAAAATTTTGATTAGCACTTTTGGTCATTTGAGGTGCTTTTACAATCTATCATGAATATAATCAACAGTTTACTTTTTATTTACCATAATAGTAAAGGCCTATTTACAGTACCGTACAGTAAATTTGGGGGGTTATTGTTGGAAAATATTAATATTTTTTCTTCAAATATTGTGCATAACTTGCAAGTTACTAATGTCATTTGACATGAAATGTATTGTGGATGGTATTTTCGACACCAATCATTTATGGGTGCTAAAAGAATTCCAACTGCAGACAACATATTTCATGTTGATGTCTTTCGAGAGCTGCCTTCGGTTCCTTCGGGAGCTGCCTTCTTACTCTTACCTGTCTCTAATTCCGGTAGACCTAGATCTACTGCCTAGCCATGGCTTGCCTGTCTCATTGTTATAATATTACGCTGAACATGAGTGGATTCCTGTACTCCCATATTGCCAAAGATTTAAATTGTTATGATTATATTATAATTAGACCTTAATAAATGCCAATGTTAATAAGATTTAAATTGTTATGATTATATTATAATTAGACCTTAATAAATGCTAATGCTAATGATTTGAGTTTATTTAAACTGCCTTTTCATCTGAAGTTCTACACCATATCATGGCTAAAATCATTATTGCAGGTCTGTAAAATGTGTGATATTGTATCAAACTTGAAAAAGAAAGAAAACAATATTTGATTTATTTGAAAAAATAACCTGTCACCTTCCACTTCTTACCTTTGTAATAACTTCCACTTCCGCGCCATATTGAGTTAACATAGAAGAGTATTTAGCTTCAATATTTAATTTGGGGATATTCAGATACTCAAATCTGAAATATAATAATATAATTATAAAACTAATACAGCCACAGGAAGTAAATTGAATTTTTGTGTAGGCCTGTATTAAAGGGGGGGGGGGGGGGTTGGGGGACTGGTGTAGAATGGGCTGCAGCCAGGGACCCCAATATTAAAGGGGCTTTGCACCTTAAAAATGTCAAATGGTACAGTACAATTTAACATGGGGGACATAAAATTCTCTATTAATTTTCAGTGAGTATGACAAACAATGGCCAGAATATGCCCACCTTTCGACTGTTGATACAAGGGCTCCAGTGACATTTTTAACCAGAGGTCCCATACAAGCTTTATCCAGCGCTGCATTTCAAAATGTGAACACAAAGATAAATCTTTGAAATTTAAGATTCAACCGTTTAGGAAATTCAATATTCTCTCTTATGCCTCAACAAACAATCTCACTAAGGTTTAATGTATTCTGTTGAGAATTCTGTCCTGCATTAAGCTTATATAACAAAGAAGCTCAGCTTTATGGGTTGTAATTACTGATTTTATTAATATTATATGAGATATATATTACATGTCAAAATGTGCAAAACATATTTAATATATTTGTGAGCAAAATTTTTTATCAGGTTCTTTTTCATATCCTAATGAAACACTGAGTCTTAAAATGTTTTGTCAAGAACTTTGTTCAGTATCGCCTACATAAATTTAAACATAAATGCTTAGATAACTTCTCAATTTTCAATTCAAAGATTCTGAATTGCGATACTGTTCTTTCCATGACTAAACGAAAAACAATCCCTGTAAATTTGAAAAAAATAATATTAACAACTCTGAGCATTTAAAGATTCTGGCCTGACAATAGCCTTTGTGGGCACATAAAAATCAGCTTTCATAAGACAAAATACCAAAAAAGACATTCAATATTTGCCAAATGAATCTTGATATAAAATAAAGCATTATCAATTACTTAAAACAAATCCCACCTCACTAATAGATTCAGAGAATTTACTGTAGTTTTCATCTTTTTAAAACAGGTATCCATGAACGTTTGTAGACCATTCTATAATTTAGAGAAAGAGAATGGATTTTATACATTTCATTTAAAGGACAATATTGGTGTCAGCCATTATCACATTTGGTAGAATAGGTTAAACACGTTCCAAATATAATTTTAACACAGAGATCATTACAAAGATAGATGCATAATAAATATTTGAAGAAATGTAAGTGACAAAAGCAAAAGGAAAACCTAGTTATTCTTCTATATAACTGACTGAAGTAACGAGCGATAACAAATACACAGGCAAATTCTTGCTCACTGATAATTCCCTCGATGATCATTGAGTATATGTTGAGATTTAACCAATTTTGTGTTCCAATGTTAACACAGTAAGCCAAAATATAAATTAGTAACATTCAATCTTTTGATAGGTTGCCAGGCAACGGAACATACGCCCACAGCAGCTAAGTTGTCCGGGAAGTCCACAAGGGTTGTCAAATATTTTTTTCTTTTGTCAAAAATGAAAACATTTACCACACACTAAATAATGATTACTAGTAACAACCCATTTGGCTTCTAGTTCTGCCATATTCAAACATTTAGCATACAAAACATTTAATATCAATTGCCATAATCATCGGAAATCGTTGAAAATGGATAGGTTTCTTCGTCTCAAGACCTTAAACACTGTGTATAAATTTAAAGTCAGTCGGATATCAACTTTAACCTCCAGAACGTCCACAATATTTTTTAGAGTGATCAAGGGGCAAGGGCCATTACTCAGACAGTAATTATCAGAAATAGTTGAAAAGCAATAGGCTTCTTCATTTCATGACCTTATATAAATTTAAAGACAATTGGATATTACTTTAGCATCTAGAGCGTCAACAAGATATTTCAAAGAGCTCAAGGGCCATAACTCTGGGAGTAGAACGTCCACAAGCAATTTTGAATGCCAGACTGCAGGACGGACGGAGGCGACAACAATATCCGACCACTAGGCGTATAAAAATGTAATTGTGAGGAGCTTTCCCCCCTCACTAATCGAAATAACACATCAGATCAACCAAACTCAATACTTTATTTTGATCTAAATCGACGTTTTTCACCAAATAATACCAATAAGGGTAATACAGTCAATCATTAAATAAATATCCCACCTCAAGCTCTGTAAGCTGACGACAAATATCTTCGAAATCCATATCAAAATCAACTTTTCTCTGGTCTAAAACATCATATGGTTTCTTCTTTATGCAGAAGAATATTTGCTGAAATCTTGCAGAAAATGGTTCTATTCCTTCAATCTTTGAATCTATCAGTGCCGAGAAGGCATCAAAGTTATTCAACAAACGAATAATCTATTGGTAAAAAAAATATTCTCATTAGTTATGTTCGATATAAACAAAAGCAATTAATGAAGGATGTTGTTCAAAACAACCAGTTTCGTTCAATTAAATGAATTATTCAAGTCATACAAATTTCAGTTAGATCAGATTGTAAATGAAGCTTCTGCAAAAAAACAACTTAGACAAATTTCGGAAGAATTGATCATAATTGAAGCTTCTATTACATTAAAGAAATGTGGACGACAGATGGGTAGACAGGTATATAATCACATTAAAATATGGCTGTATAAAAAATGTTTATGAAAAAAAATTTGTTCATTTACATACAAAATTATTTCAATCAATTTTTTTTTTTTTTAGAGATTCATTGTTTCAACAATTACTTATAATGAAATATATAAGGTTAAATTTTGATGTCCTGATAACCAAATCATATAAATTTACCTTATCCAAACGTTTACAGAAAGTTTCAAATTTTCCAAAGATATACATCTCTGAGAATTCAAAAGGTTTTTCACCAGGAGTTTCTTCAATCTTCTTTTTTGTTCTTTGAAAAACTGACTGGTAAGTTCGGTAAAGTTTGACACAATTCTTTAATTTCTGCACAGCTTCACTTTGAGGTTGATCCCAAACCCCATTCACGCCTTCCTCGGTAATATAATTTTTACATGCAGTAACCATCTGATTAGTTACCTTATAAAGAACAGATATTAAATTGATCAAAACTACAGGGGGAAAAGCTACACAATTAAAGAATTTTATATATTCGAAGTATCAGTGCATTTATTAAATATATTCCAAAAGCAATGGTAGCAAGATTATGGGCTCATTAAATTAACATTAATTATTGCACATCTAGATCGTAATTACTTTTCTTGATCTAAGTTCACTCGCAGAATAATCGAAATAGTTCATACATCATTCTGTTTGCTTTAATTTGCACTTCTATTTAGTGGTGTTTTTTGTGGTCTGAATCCTATCATCTTTTGTAATAGAGGGCTAAATCTATTAGTTAAGGCCAGCTCAATTTTCATCAAGGTTGTTGAGATGTAAATAAAGTTAGGGCATGTGATTGTCGGGGAGATTGTAGGTTAGGGTTAGGGTAAGCATTAAGGCTAGGTCCAGGGTTAGGGTTGGGATTAGCGCTAGCCCTGTTTACATCTTGTGACCTTTGACCAAACTTGAAGTTGGCCTTATCAAATAGATCTAATGTATTAGAGTTGTCTGCGTATTACAAAATGTCAAGGTATTTGAATAAATATAGCGGTCAAGATTAGCTGCTTTTAATATATGGGTGGGAGTTTTCACAATTAAACCTGTATCTGTTATATATAAACTTTTCAAAAAGATATTGTTAATGTTTTCAGAAATGAATAGTTCATTTAAACCAAGCCGTAGCCCCATTCCTTCAACGTTCAAAGTATTGTTTCTAGTAATGCCTTGAAGTTATCACTAGTGTGGGATATATTGGCCTGCAGTCAACTTAGAAACCAGACCCAGAGGAAAGTAACTAATACAAAACACCTCTTTAATGGGGCTGAAAATATGTATTGTATGGTTAGGAATGGTCTATTGCAAATCAAAGCACTATCATGCTCTCCAGAAGAGCAATTTCTAAAATAAACATTAACCTTAATAAAAAGAGAAGTCATTCTCTCTGATGTGTTGTAATATCGTGATATACTGTGAATCATTCTGATGGCATTAATCAAACCAACTAAACAATCAATCATTGAAACCTGTAATACAAATTGTTATAACAAATATTTTATATTTGCAGAACAGTATATCAACACGATTAAGAAAAATATTTAACATCAGATTTGTTTCATTAATAGTAATAAAACTATGTCATGCACGTATATAAAGTATTCAAAGGACAACAAATTTGTTACATTATCTAATAGTTCCAGAGGGGGTTCGAATAGTTCTGAATTTCAATAGAGTTCCTATTTTATGCCCCTATATTTTATATAGTCCATTTTGAATTTTATTCTGCATCATGTTCAATTTCAATGGCTTTAACAGTCAAAATGTAAACAGAAAAATAACTCCTCAAAACATGCTTGAAATTTACGATCCAAAAATATATGATAGGGTTCTTCCTTACGGAGTATATTATCAAAATATTCTGAATTTCGACATGGTACCTCTTATGATATAAATACTTTATAAATTTTAACATAAACTGTCAAATAACTATTTATGATTTGCTTAATAGTATAATAATAATGGCACTAAAAACACATTAAAATCATCAAAGATAGGTTGCCAGGCAACAAAACATACGCCCACAGCAGCTAAGTCGTCTGAGCAGTCAACAAGTGTTGTCGCATACTTTTTCTTTTGTCAGTAATGAGAACATTTACAACATATGAAAATCTGATTACAAGTAATAACCCATGAAGTAATTATCAGAAAACATTAGAATTTGTTTTGATTGTTTGCCTTATGACATTAAACAATTTATATTACCTTTAGCCTCTAGAATAAATGAATAATTGAAATGGAGTTTTAGCCTCTAGACCGTCCACAAGATTTTTTGAAGTAATCAAGGGCCTTAACTGTGGCAGTAATTATCGGACTGGGGCGACAACAATATACGCCCACATCAAAATGTGGGCGTATAAAAATACAAAATTGCAGATACAAATTAATCAGTAGACCTACTGGATCACATCTGTATAATGGTTCACAGTATTTCTCTAGTGTATATAAATACTTGACATTGTCTTTTGCTTCATTCGCATTATCTGTAATACGTTTATCTAGTTCTTTCCATTTCTTCAGGATTTTACTTTTAGCAATATGGATAATGTTGATAGTCATGCGACATTTATGACTTTTAATCTGTTCTAATAAAGCATTAAATCTGGCTGTTAGTTGTCTCCAGTGTTCTAATTCAGCCATAGGACCAGTATCATCTGCCTCCTTTCTCATCTGATCACTCTCGGCTAATATCTACCATGCAAAAAAAAAAGGTAATTGTAATCATTTTCATAACTAAATCAATTATCAGGTCTTCACTCTTCAGTAGCTCAAAATAGTGAATAGAAGCTAGTAAAAAATCTCCCTATGTATGAAAAGGGATTTGAGAAATATTAACTTTCCGTCCCTCTTGCAGTGTTAAAGCGTGTTGGTATTTGTCAGCTTGGAGGTCAGAAGATTTGGTATTTTAATTTGACCGGAAAGAAATAAACAGAAGGTTTGAGTTTGTTTGTATCAAATATATTGTTAATTTTTCTGCGCAGGTGCTAAAAATTGGGGATTGGACAATCATTAGAGATCTTCATTTATTAATTAGTTACTGAATAAGGTTGAATGCTTTTCTTAATGTAGTCCAGCAGAACTATGGCTGAACCTTGAAATTGTATACAAAGTTTTTTATGGTTGATTTTAGTAGCTTGGAGCGTTTTGCAAAATTCAAGATGGTGTCTAAGACGGCTGCCATTTCAAATAATCCCGCATAACTCTCATAGTATTTAGTCTAGAATGATAACTTTGGCGTCTAACCTATGTTTTGGGGGTCAAGGAATGCACTGAGATGATAGTAAAATCAAACATGTCAGACAGTATGGTCCTTTAACTCTTTAGTTGCGGTTGGGGGCGATTATTTCACCGAACCAAACTATATCTAGAGAGAAACTATATATTTCTAGACATAGGAGCATAGGTGTGATACAATAACACCACATACATCCCTATCAGGGGCTCAAGGGCCACATGGGTCAATCCTGAAGAGGGAGGCACAAGCTGTTTGTTGAACATTTAAAAAAAAAAATTCTACCCGCAAAACACGAACAAAACCTCCACAAAACTAGGTAATATCAAGTTTAATCCTTTATTCGTGCTTCTGGCGGCAACCTGTGACAGCACAAGCGCAAAATACTTTATTTTCTAAGCCATCCATAATGCAGCTACCAGCAGTGCATGGTTTAGGTGGGGATGATGACGATTCATTTCCAGTTTTGGATGCCTACATCCAGCCAACTTGCTCCGGAGTCTGTCAGTGGCTCATCAGATGTGGATGCATGAGTGATACCAATGTAGTACGCTTGCTTGCAGTTACACTAGGGATGGTTTAAAATGTACAGTATTTTGCATTTGTTCTGTCGCAACGCGACTAAACAATGAAACTGAATATTACCTACTTCTGTGGATGTTATTTTCGTGTTTTGTGAATAGATTTTTTAATTGTTCAAAAAACAGCTTTGGCCCCCCCCCCCCAGCCCTTTTCACGGTCGGCCTATGTGGCCCTGGAACTCCTGATAGGCATGCATGTTGTGTTATCACATCACTCATATGCTCCTATATCCAGAAATATATAATTTGTCTCAGGAATAGTTTGTTTTGGTGAAATAATGGACCTCAACGGCCGTTAACGAGTTAAAGGGCGATATATAGTGTCTGGCATTTTGGATTTTACTATCATCTAATCACCCCACAACATAATGAACGATTTCAGTGTATTCCTTGACCCCAGAAACATACAGTAAGACACCAAAATTATCATCCTAGAATAAATACTATGGGAGCTATATATAGGGGATTATTTGAAATAGCGGCCGTCTTACACGCCATCTTGAATTTCTCAAGGGTGACCGAGGCAGATTCTGTAAGGGAACACCCTAGGCTACTAAAATCAATCATAAAGAAAACTTTGTATACAATTCCCAGGCTCACTCGAAATATTGGGTTTGGTGACCGGACTAATGGTCCGTACCGTGGTTCGATAAACACAGAACAGGAGGAAAGATGGTTTCTTGTGATATTCAACTGTAATGCTCTGCTATGACCCCCTGCAGGTCACCTGACAAGGAGGAAAGATGGTTTCTGGGGATAAAACATTTGCCTCCAGCGAACCAAAATTCACAGATATGGGAACATTTTTGGATTAAAAACGCCAGATGGAAAAGCCTAGGCTAATAAAGTGACATGTGACCATTAAATATCATGTACTTGTTTTTATTTTTAAAGTAAACATGGAAAGAAAAAATACTGTGATATGTATCGTATGGTGAGGTCCATATCGTTATGTGTATCGTATCATGAGCTTACTGTATCGTTGCAGCCCTAGTACTGATCATCAATTTCTTCATTAGAATATATTTTCTTTCATTTGAACCGCATATCTACTCATACGCTCACTATAAAAATAATAGCGAGTCCATACTTCATATTTATTTTTAATTGAACACAGGCGGCACAAACTGTACATACACCACTGAATACCAGTGCCCGTTTACCTGTTCAATTTGTTTACACCAACAGGATGCTAGTTCCTCTAATACAGTCACAATTTCTGGATTAGCTGCTACTTCTACACAATCAGTGACAGTTTTAATAGCTTCAAAATCTATCTTATCGCTCTCACAATCAACTAGTGTTATACCTTCACGAACATGAGTCTGGGC